CGCGTTTGAATTCTCATCTCTAAAGGTTCGGATACATTCACCCCGTGGTTATGTGCATGCAACCTATGATGCTATACATTGATCTTCCCTTAACAGCATTAAAACAATCGAGGGATATTTCTGGATTTTAAAACGAATACACAAACACACTCAGACGTGTCTTCACCCCGATGCTTACCTCAAGGAATTCTCCAGAGAAAGAAGCGAGTAAGATTCGTTTGGGATTATACACTGACTGGCCCCCATCTCTGCCCCTGTGACCGCATGTTGCTAAAGTCCCAATCAGCATGTGTATGGCATTAATTATTCTGCTTCTGTTTTCATTCATTCACAGAAAGATATGAACCTGACCTTAGAGTTAGAATGGGGTTCAAGAGCCAGCCGTCTCTTACAAGAATCCTGATGTTTGGCAAACGTCTCGACCTCCATAAAACTTAATCCCCTTGTTTGTAAAAGGCGACGCTAAAAATAGCATCTCCTTAGCAGCATTGTTTATATGATTAAGTGAGATAATACTCATAAAATCCCTAGCACAGCTTATGGTGTATGGGGAAGCTCTAATGAATGTTTCTATTATTAGAATCTTACTAGAGGCCCGGTGCACGGGTTTGTGTACCGGTGGGGTGCCTCGGCCTGGCCTGCGGGGATTGGGCTGAAACCGGCTCTCCAACATCCCCCGAGGGGCCCTGGATTGCGAGAAGGTGGTTCTCCGGTGATGCACCCAGGAATCAAGCTCTGTCCTCTCTGGTTCCGGGTGCGTCCCCTGAGAACCACAGCTGCCAAGTCACCGCAGCTCGGCAGCTCCTGCGTTGAGCATCTGCCCCCTGGTGGTCAGTGCGCCTCATAGCTACCGGCCAATCGGCCGGTCAGCTGGTCGCTTAGGCTTTTATATATATACACTAGAGGCCCGGTGCACGAAATTTGTGCACAGGTAGGGTCCCTAGGCCTGGCCAGAGATCACGGATGATTGGGGCCTTCCAGCTGCCCACCGGGGCCTCCCTTTGTTCCGTGCTGTCCCCTGGTGGTCAGAGCACATCATAGCAAGCAATCGGTCTCCCAGTGGAACTCCCATGGGGACAATTTGCATATTAGGCTTTAGATAGATAGATAGATAGATAGATAGACCTGTATATGAACATGCTCTTTATTTTCATGGTTTCATGGTAGTCCAGAAAATTAATCAACAATGTTCTTTCTTTTTTTATTACTGCTAGGAATTTGGGTTGTTTGAACTTATTTGGAGATACATGCCTCGTTGCTATAAATACCTACGTATTAAATATTGTTTTTCTGCTCAGTTTATGTTCTTGAGGGATAGTCCAGCTGGAAGCGCAGGATGAAATGGGAGTTTTTTTATGGACTTTCTTGCAAGTTGCCAAATTCCCCTCCAGAGAAAAGTAAACCCATTTACAGAGAGCCGTGTGACATTATTAAACTCTTTCCTCACAGACACACTAGCTATGGGTTTTCATTATTTTTTACCCAGTTATTGGAGAAAAATCAGCATAAAGTCAGACCCAAAACACTCAAATTTGCCTTTCTGTAATGACTACCAATTCAACTGGGTATATATAGGAAAACTCTATACCGTCTTCACAATTTTTCTGAGAACTTAAAACTGCTCTAAAAAATAAAGTCCATGAAGAGGGAAAAAAAAGTGTTTAGAAGGAAGTGACAAAGAACGCCTATAATTGTGATTAAAAGGATTGTATATACTTTTTTTTTAGAGGGAGAGAGAGAGAAACACCCATGTGTGAGTGTACATCAATCGGAGGTCTCCTGCACGCCCCCCGCTGGGAATCGAGCCTGCCTCCCAGGCAACCTTTTGGTACACAGTACAACACCCAACCAACTGAGCTGTACTGGCCAAGGAAAAACCATATATTTTTTTAATCGTGTATTTTTTTAAATGCATATATATATATTTTTTTTATTGATTTCAGAGAGGAAGGGAGAGGGAGAGAGCGAGATAGAAACATCAACGATGAGAGAGAATTACTGATTGGCTGCCTCCTGCACGCACCCTACCGAGGATGGAGCGGCAACCTGGGCATGTGCCCTGGTTGGGAATCGAACTGTGACCTCCTGGTTCATAGGTCGACACTCAACCGCTGAGCCACACTAGCCGGGCTCATGTATCTTTTCGATTGTTGAAATTATAATTATGTTTTCTGAAGTCTAAGAAAGATGTTCATTGTCTTGTGTTGCCTTTAGAGGACTAAATCCACTTACCCGGATGCTAAGGGAAGCCCTGGTTCCTCGGGGATGCCAGTGTGGGAGAAAAAGCAAGAGACTGAGCTACCGCCAAGGTTTCTCTTGCTCTGCACGGCGGGACACACGGAGATTGGGAATCTCAGCCGAGAAGACCAAGAGGCAACGAAGGGACACAAACCCAGACGGACGAGGCTGACTCGGCGAAACCCTTCAATGACTTTGCAAAAGACCTGTCTCACTGGACACCAGGCGCCCACCTCCCGAAGAAATAGCGCAGAATCCCGGCAGACCCTCTGCAGTGCTGTCAGGGGGTAAGACGGAGGGAGGAAGAGGCAAAAGAGGAATGGAAAGTAGTGACAGGCGGCCTCGGGCCCATGTGTCCTGTTTCAGTTCCAGCTGACACTCCATCGCCGGTCGCGGGGGAGGGCACGCGAGACAGGGAGCCCATGTTCTCTGGATGACCCCGACCGCAGCCACTGGGTTGGGCGCCTGACACCGCATCCGTTCGACACGAACTAGAAAAGGCGCCTCTTTGATGGATGTCCTCTTGTTCCAGTTTACAGGCAACTAATTCCCGCCGCATCGGATCCAACAGGCGGGCAGGATCAATTCAGAAAAAGCGAGCGACGCGGGGGCTGCTCAATCTTCCCTCTCCGAGAGCCACCGTGGAGAGGGGAGGGGAGGGAAAGGGAAGAGAGAGAGAAAATGCGGGCATGCCTGCACCCACAAGAGCTCAGCAAAGCAAAGTCGAGATGGACAGACAAGTCGAAAGACACATCCTGGCAGGCGGAGGATCTCGCTGTCAGAGGGAGAGACGGACACACCAAGAGATGCTGCCAGGCTGGTGTAGCTCAATGGTTGAGCATCGACCTATGAACCAAGAGGCCTCACCGGTTCGATTCCCGGTCAGGGCACATGCCCAGGTTGCGGGCTCGATCGCCAGTAGGGGGTGTGCAGGAGGCAGCGGATATCAATGATTCTCTCTCACTGATCTCTCTCATTGATGTTTCTATTTCTCTATCCCTCGTCCTTCCTCACTCTCTAAAAAACCAATACAAATATATTTAAAAACAACCACCACCATGAGATGCCAATCAGGCCCAAGTCTCCGGGCGCTGGGGGTGTGGGAGGGACCAAGGACGGCGGGAGGAAGTGGTTGGGGTGTCAAAACCAAAGAAACCGGCCGCAGCCACTCCAGGGAGCGGGGTCTGCGTTTACTTAAGTTGCCGTGGTCTATGATCTTCAACACAAAGTGATGGGCGCGTTCATAAGTGCACGCGGGTAATTAAGAATCAGGGAAGCCAGCGCCCCAAAGCAGTACAAATTGATGCCGCCAGACCGTGCCAGGCTTAACCGACCGGCGATGGGGTGAGAAGCAGCCGGGAATAGCATGCGAACAGCGGCCCAAGGAAAATGAGTGAAAATGAGCTGGGAATCAGACAGACGCGAAGCAGGCGGCGAGATTTTCCCATCATTCATCAGGAGGCACTTCCTCCCCCAGCAACTCCATGGCTCCATCCATCATCCCCTCGCTCCGAAGGTGGCCAGGGTCTGAGCCTGGCGTTCCCGGCACCTCCTGGTCCTTTCTTTCCTCTCCTGGGCCTTTAGCATCCCCGCCTCCCCCCGGGTCTGCTTCGGTCAGGTCTGAAATATGTGTCTACCCTGAAGACCATCAGAAGGGCTTATTTGGATAATGGCTCTCCCCCTCTTGACCTGCTCATGGTCGCCACAGCCCTCAGAGACCCGCCTCTCCCAGCCACGGCTCAGCCGGGCTCCCCGGGCCAACGTGTTAATCACCTTTACATGGTCTAAGAAGCGACGTCGCTATTTAAGATGAAAACATTTCTTGACCCCAAGTGCCTAGATATTGGCAATCATATTGTCCCCCTACTTTTTTTTTTTTAATTTCAGAGAGGAAGGGAGAGGGAAAGAGAGAGCTAGAAACATCAATGAAGAGGGAGAATCACAAATCGGCTGCCTCCCGCACATCTCCTTCTGGGGATTGAGCCCACAACCTGGGCATGTGCCCTTGCCCGGAATCAAACCCAGGACCCTTCAGTCCCCAGGCCAACGCTCTATCCACTGAGCCAAACCGGCTAGGGCTCTCCATATTTTTTTTTTTTGCCAAGTAATGGATGACTACAAATGATACCCATACATACATAAACATAACTGACATATCTATCTATCTACTATCTATCTATCTATCTATCTATCTATCTATCTATCTATCTATCTATCTATCTATCTATCTATCTAAACCAGTGTCCCTGATGACCTATCTATCACCAATGAGGTGCATTGAGCACCTCTCGGTCCCTCCCCCGCGGCCCGCAAGCGCATTGAGCACCTCTCGGTCCCTCCCCTGCGGCCCACAGGCTCCAATCGCAGCAAGGCGGGCGCGAGGGTGGGTGGGCGGGGATGTGAGCAGCGGGGGGCTACCACACGATTTCACGCACTGCACCTCTAGTATAGACATACGCCGCATCTTCTCACCGTCAGCACAATGTGTTCACAATGCACATTTACAGACACAAATAGCCAATAAAATACAAATGCGTCTGCATCGGATGTGTGTGCACACGCCTCCCCGTGTTTTCGGCAGGAAGTGAGGACACTGGGGTGGTGGCTGAATTGAAGAACCCGCATCCTTACCTTCATCTGGCGGCTCCTCCAGATTTGTTATCTGTCAGAGACCCCTACGTCTGCTGGACTCACTTTCTGAGACCTGCCCCCGCCCCGTGGAAACACAGAGGTACCCGTCCCGCCGGGCCCCTGCGAGCATCCTACCTGCGCAGCTGCTGGTCCAGGGCCCCGTCCTGGGCGTTCAGCAGGGACGCAGCGCGGGCCAGGAGCTGCCGGCTGCAGCTGGCGGACTTGAGTTCCAACAGGAGGAGGCCCAAGCAGAACATGGCTCCCATCTCCTCCAGCTCCCGGGTCCCAAACTGCAGACCCTGCAGGGAGAGAGAGGCCGACAGTGAGCAGGCTGAGCGAGGACCCTCGGAGACGGGAGGGAGGTCTCCTGGACGCCCGCCCGCCCGCCACGGGGATTGGGAGTGAATGGTATTTCTCGGGCACAGTTCCGTGGGTTTTGTCATGTGCTTCGTGGACGGATGGATGGATCTCGAGCTGCAACGCCAGGACACCTGGGGTTGCACAAAAGTACCCCAAAGGCAGAAGGGTGGGTAAGGACGCAAAAGTCACCTCCCCGCACTGAGGTCAAGGCAGCAGAGTTTAAGAACAGTTCACTGCCCAGCTGGCATTGCTCAGTGGTTAGAGCATCAACCTATGAACCAGGAGGCCATGCTTTGATCCCAGTCAGGGCACATGCCCAGGTTGCAGGCTCAACCCCCATCCAGTAGGGGGCGAGCAGGAGGCAATCAATCAATGATTCTCATCGCTGATGCTTCTACCTCTCTCTTCCTCTGCCTTCCTCTCGGAAATCAATAGAAATATATTTAAAAATAAAAAAGAGGGGTTCACTGCTGCCCTGGCCAGCGTAGGTCAGTGTAGAGCATCAGCCCACGTGCCAAAGGGTCGCAGGTTTGATTCCTGGTCAAGGGCACGTACCTGGGTTGCAGGTTCAATTCTCAGCCCCCAGGTTAGGGCACATGTGGGAGGCAACCAATCAATGTATCTCTCTCATATCTGTCATCTCTCTCTTCCTCTCTCTCTCTCTCTCTCTCTCTCTCTCTCTCTCTCTCTCTCTCTCTCTCTTCCTCACTCTCACTTATTCTTCCTCCCTTCCTCTCTCTCTAAAAATCAATGGAAAAAATATCCTTGGGTGAGGATTAAAAAAAAAAAAAAAGATTTCACTGCTGAAACCAAAGTTTGTGAAGAATCTTACTAAGAAATACCCTTTTTTATTCTTCCAAACAGTTACCAACCAGGGGAGAAAAATGAGGGAGGATCCTTCAATCCCAGAGCTGCCACTTAATGTCTTGCCTTGGAGGGGAAGTTATCTGACCTATCAGCACCTCCATGTTCCCATCTGTATAATGGGAATAATAATGAAAATCATAGTAATACTCCCTATCTCATGGAACTGCTGAGATCATTCGGGGAGTTTACAATATATAATAAATTCAGATTATACCTTGGCCCATAGCACATTATCCAAGTCTTTATCACATCATCCAAGTGGTCATTATTATCACCAATAATAGCAAGTGCTTATATAAAAGCAACAGCCAAAATAATACTTGAGACACACAGTCCTTCTTACAACCACGGCCAAAACTATGGCCTGCTCTCATGGCTGTCATTTGTCATTACTTGACAAGTTTCAAACAATTCAATAAGAAAAAAATGAGCCATAAATATTAGGAAAATAAATCACATGATCATTATTTGAGGGCTGATTATGGACTAAAACCAAAGAAATGAGGCGAAACAGAAACTCTATTAGATATAAGGCAAGAGCTGAGTAAGTAGACAAGTTACAAATTAAATATCCCCAAAATCAATTTTCTTTCTATAAACCTGCAAAGTAAATTATTAAGGATAATAAAAATTCCATTCACAGGAGCAGCACAGCTATACAGTATCTAGGAATGGAATTTAATAGTAAATACCCCAAAGGCTGTATGATGAACCCCTGGAGTTTACCAACGGATAACAAGGGAAATTTAAATAAATGAAGAAATGGGCTGAATTCTGAGAAAGCAAGGCCCAGCCCCATGTAATATCTATTCTCCTTATGTTAGTCTATCAAAGCACAGGAAATCAAAATGCCACTGGGCAATTTCAGACTTGGCAAAGGAATTCCACTTTAAAAGACCCCATGGCAACCATATCCAGTAATATTATCAGAATCAAGAGTAAAAAAAAAAAAAAATGGCCCAGCCAGTGTGGCTCAGTGGTTGAGCACCGACCTATGAACAAGGAGGTCATGGTTCAATTCCCAGTACGGGCACATGCCCAGGTTGTGGGCTCGATCCCAAGTGGGGGCGTCCAGGAGGCATCCAATCCATGATTCTCTTTCACCACTGATGTTTCTTTCTTTCCCTCTCTCTCCCTTCCTCTCTGAAATCTATAAAAATATATTTTTAATCCTCACCTGAGGATATGTTTCCATTGATTTTTATAGAGAATGGAAGAGAGAGGGAAAGACAAATATCAATGTGAGAGAAACACATCAATTGTTTGCCTCCTGCATTCACCCCGATCAGGGCCCTGGCCGGGGAGGAGCCTGCAAGCGAGGTACATGCCCTTGCTTGGAATCAAACCCGGGACCCTTTATTCTGCAGGCTGACGCTCTAGCCACTAAGCCAAACTGGCCGGGGCAAAAAATATGTATTTTTTAATAAAAATAAAATGTTTAAGTACTTGGAGTTCATTCAAATTCCAGAAATTAGTCTTAAGAGATTGGGAATAAATGAGGCAGGGAATTCATTTAAAAATCGTGCCTTCCTTCTGCCCTTCGACCTCCTCCCCACCCACATCTGCTTCCTGTGTGGTCCAAACAGCCAACCAGTATATGCCCCGTTTGCACAGAACCCGTCGCCGACCCTGCGTGACGCTGGGGCTACATCCCCACCCCACCTCCCCCAGATCTAGTCACTGAACAGAGCTCTCCTCTTCCTCTGGAATGAGCCTGCAGGCAGACCTCAGGACTCCCAGCTCTTCAGCCACAGAAGTGCAGACTAGAAGGAGCCTGTGATATGCAAATAGACACTTTCATCTCCACGCAAAGGCAAGGCTTCCCTTAGTCCAGGGTTGGTAGTGAACCTGCTGCCACTCGCATGAGGCTGGGGCTTTGAGAGGGAGGTGTGAAGTGGTCCCTTCTTCTGACTCCAGCGTGTCAAACTCCAAGGCCAACACGGGCCCAATAAACAAGGTTTAGGTGTATGTGGCCGCAAGAAAACAGAAGCTTCCGTTTTCACAGGAACGTAGGTTTATGTCGATAGAGACATGCTGAATACAAAGGCTGAGATAAATGAGTCCAAGTTAACGTAAGACAATAGAACATTTTAATAAAAATTAATCTTTTTTCTTGGAGATGAACGTACCAGACACTGAGTAACTACACAGATGAATAAGTGTCATGCAAATAAACCTATTTTTCTTGTTCTCCGAAAGTGAAATATTTCCTGTTGCACACAGCAAACAGGTCAGTCCAAGACGAATGATGTGGCCATTGGCTGCTAAAACATTCGCTGCTGGTATTAGTGGAGAGAAATGGTGCGCTTGTGTGTAAGGCACGTAAGGGAAATGAATGCAACACGATGATAGTAATCAGTCATTAGCAAACATTGTAGTTCGTTATTAATAACTTGAGGCCCGGTGCACAAAAATTTGTGCACTCGGGTGGGTCCCTCAGCCTGGGACCCCTCAGGGGATGTTCACCTGCTGGCTTAGGCCTGCTCCCCGGGGGATCGGGCCTAAGCTGGCAGTCAGACATCCCTCTGGCAGCCCGGCAGCCCTCGGGGGATGTCCACTTGCCAGCGGGGAGCAGGCCTAAGCTGCAGTCGGACATCCTTAGCACTGCTGAGGAGGCAGGAGAGGCTCCCACCACCACTGCTGTGCTGTCAGCCATCAGCCTGGCTTGTGGCTGAGCAGAGCTCCCCCTGTGGGAGTGCACTGACCACCAGGGGGCAGCTCCTGCATTGAGCGTCTGCCCCCTGGTGGTCAGTGTGTGTCATAGTGACCAGTCATTCCCAGTGGTTCTGCTGTTAGGGTCCATTTGCATACTACCCTTTTATTATATAGGATTATGTATAACTGGATATTGTCAAAATTAAGTCACGAAATTTTTATTAAAATGTTTCTTACATACGAATATATTGGCTGGGCCGAAAACATATTCATCATGGGCCGCATGTGGCCCGCAGGCCACGAGTTTGACATGCTTGTTCTAACTTCTATGTTGCAATGTTGAGGGCCTCCTAGGTTAGACCTAACCAAAGGTCAGGAGGACGAGAGACCCAGTCTCGAGGGGTGGGGGCAGTTGCCCTCGGGGTGCAGGGAGGGGGGTGTATAATTGTGATTCTTGGGACTTTCCCATAGACCGGTCCTCTTACGTCTCACTCTCTTCTGTAATGACTGCTCACACCAGCGCTTCGTAAGGATTCTGAGAATGTTTCCAGGGACGATACCAAAGGAACAGATTTCTTGTTGCTATGTCTTTACTAGACCTTAAGGTGTTGGATGCTAACCTCAAAAGAAAAATAGAGTCCGCCAGCAAGGCTCAATCAGTGGTTGAGCATCTACCTATGGACCAATAATGAGAGACAATCATCAATCGGCTGCAACCCGCACGCCCTCTACTGGGGATCGAGCCCGAAACCCGGGCACGTGCCCTTGACCGGGAATCAAACCGTGGCCTCCTGGTTCATAGGTCGACGCTCAACCACTGAGCCACGCAGACGGGGCCGGGACAGAGCATTTATTTGTGCAAGACACTATTCCCTACGGATCTGAAAAAGTCACCTGCATTTAGCAATGACACCAAGTCTTTCTCTGGCATTTTTATACCCTCCTTTTAGTCCCTTTCCCAGCCCATGGGCTAATGGATTTCCACTCCCAACATCACTCCTAATCGATATGTGTATACACACAGACACATACACACACAGAGCAGTGTCTGCATCTTGTAGCTTTCCACACGCCCCCAACGTCTGCCCGAGGCTGGGTATAAATAAATCGACAGCCTGGTTTCCCACTCGGGCCATGAGAGAATGCCGTTTTCGAATACTAATCAGAAGCACCAGCGAAGTGAGGACAGGCCGTGTCAGGGAGCAGTAGAAACCCCGTGCTTACTGGGGCCAGAAAACCAATTAGCCAGAAGCAATTCGGTTGGCCTTTGGGGCGTGTGCAACCAGCTGTATCCTAGCTCAGCGTCTCCTTCTCCGATACAACTGGGGGACCAGAGACAGGGGCTACTTAGGCTGCAGGACTGTAATGGAGAAAGGAGCATATTAGCCAAAGAAATGAAACCGATAGCTCAGCCGGC